TATGCACCCTTCACCTGTGCAGAACCTGGGATCAGAGCCTTGCTAAAGTTTGTCCTACTCTTGTTGTTACCTCTGTCCCTTTAAAAGAGGACAGATCAGGCAGATCAGCAAATAACGTGCCATTTTGGGACCACGGCCCAGCTAGCTGTTATAGCTTTCACAGGCTGTAGAGTGCTATGTGGAGTCTGACATGTACTAGTCATGCAAAGCTTAGGATTAATGATGGTCTGAAAACCTCAAGCATCCTTTTTATTTTTTTTTAAGTTATATTTTAGCCACAGCTTGACCTTGTTCAGTTCAGAATGTGAATAGGTTTGAATATATTTGTTTTTCTTTGGATATCAAAATACAGAGGTTATTCTTTCTGGACACATTAATGACATTCAGTTTCTTCCTGATAATTGCCCCATTAATGTCTGTCAGCATGGTACCTTCTCTGCCCATAACCTCGTTGCAGAGAAGACAGCTTTCCTAGAAGAGTGGAGATACTTAAAAGAAAAGTAACAGTAAAAGACTGCACAAAAAAAAAAAAAGGGAAAAATGTCAAGATGTTCCCAGATGAGATGCCCTGAGAGATTCATGACGCAATGGTAGCTGTGAAGAATGCAGGTGTGACAGGTGGCTGACAGTTAGGTACTTTGTCTATAAACCCTCTGAACTAATGGCAGACACTTTCTTAAAGATAGTGATTACCATGAGAAGCCTCTCCCAAAAAGTGGTACTTGTGGTAACTACTGTGAAATGGTATGCGGGATGCCTGGATCCTTTCTGTTCGTTTCAGAAGACAAATACCATAGGTCAAGACTTGTGGAATAATAATAATGGATTACTATAATAATAAATCAGAGCCTGAATAAAATAGACTCCAGAGCCTGGAGCTGGTTTGTCGCATTAAATAGGCAAACTGCATTTGCTAAACCATTTGGTAAAATGAGCTGAGGCAGCCGTTTGAGCTCAAGTAAATCAGGGAGAAGTTGCCTTTGCGTGACTGAAGGGCTGTCTCAAAAGCAGATGTTTGGACTGGTTTTCTCTGCCTAGAATACATACTTATAGCTCCCTGGGCATCCTTGTGCAGAGACATCGTGGTTACTCTGTGCCTTCTCTCCTGAAATGTAAAACATGTTACTGGTATCAAGAAGCTAGCCACCTTCCAGACACATGGCCACTATTTTTCTTGGACCACAGAAATTATATATCCAAGGTAAAATAAATATACAAATAAATAAAGTTGTTCAAAGAAATGTTTTTGCTTGAATAATTAATTCCTCAGCAAATTTCCCCATAATAAAACAAGTCCTAATGAGCTATCAGGAGGAGAGGAAATTCGTCGCTTACTCCACAAATACAAACTTGAGAGCACTGCTCATGTCAGATGGCATAATTAATGACTTGAGAGGGAGTGTGGAGCAACACAGCCAAAACCACAGTCTCCATCAGCCCAACTCATGCAGTGTTACTTGATCTACAGAGGATTAGCCAGACGACTAGAAGGAGGTATGGGGCTGAAGGGAATACAGGCAAATACGATACGTCTGATCTTGGTTTATCCAGGTTGCTTTTCTGCTTATCACTGAGGTGCAGTGGCAGCTGATCCTGCAGCCTGTTTTATTTTTGTGGTTTTTTCCTCAGACAAACAGCATTTACAGACTTTGGACTTCACCCTCCCTGATGCTGAGCAAGTCATTCTCAATCCCACATCAGCACACGGTCCCCTTGGTGTTTCATCGCTGCGGGAGACAAGAGTTCCATTCCTGTGCAGAAAGACCAGGTGGGTGCCCTGGAGCAGGCAAGCCCCTCTGAGCTGTGGGCAGGAGGTCTGAGATGTCATGCTCAAGATGTTGTTGGTCATGGGGCTGCAATAGGAAGACATCTGTACTGTGCTCTTTGTGCTGGCACCACTAGAGCTGGGGGAATGTGTCACAAGTCTATCTCTTCTCTCTGTCCTGTGCAGTTGCAAGCACTGCCCCACTGGCTTCCACCACAGTACAAAAGGGACCAACACTGACCACACATCTGCTCCAGTGGTAATCCCCTCCTAAAGATGTTTATAGAAACCAAGGCATGGGGGAATGCTTTGGAGGAGCAGCTCTCCCTACTTGGGTGGCAAAGCTGCGAAAGCAAGCTGGTAATGTCAGCCGTTGTAACGAGAAAATGAAATGGCCATAGTAGGTCCAACTGAAGGACCATCTCACCTGGGATCCCATCTCTAAGGACAGTGGCACCACCATGTAGAAGATATTTGTTTCTGGGAAGAATGGAAGATTCCGGCAAAGGCAGAGTGATCTTTTAGTGGCTCTACTTTCTCATCAGCCTGCTGCTCAGGGACTTCCCAAGCCGAAGGTTACTTCCCCAGCTCCATGTTTGGCAGCCCTTGATGGGCTTTTTTCCATTAGTTTCTCTAATCTCTTTTTTGAACTGGTATTTTTTTTGGCTTCTGCTGTGTCCTGCATGCAGTGCCACAGAATAATTATGTGCTGTGTGAAATATGTGCATCTTTTCCTCTGTTTTAAAATTTCTACCTGACCTGTATATTTGATGTCCTCCATTCCCTGTGATATGAGAAAAAATGAATAATCATTCACCTTGCCTTGTGCCTTTCCCTCCAGTTTCACCATTTTAAGGAAACTAAGTTTATTTAAGTCTTCTTTGTAACATCATTGAATTTATTCCACTAAACCAGCTGTATATTTCAGAGACCAAGTTCCAGCCTAGCGTAATTTTTTGTCTTAGGGTTTACATGAGAGATGAGTATGAGAAATCCAGGCAGCTGCCAGATGAGTGATGGCTGACAGGTTTGATTTCCACCTCTTTGCTCACTCCAGTGTGTGGCCGCTCCTTCCAACCAAGTACTGTGCTCCAGCAGCTGTCAGCCTCCTAAGTGCAGCTGTTTTACAAGTCTGTTAATATTTGCAAATGCATAACTGTGTTTTCCAAAACCATCTGATAAATGATCAGCGAAGACAATTTTATACGCTCTACAAGTGGCCCTTACGCTTCACCTCTGCAGTAACCCTCCTGCAGCTGAGCCCTGTGTTTGCTGGTGGCAAGATCTGAGCATTGGGCTTGCCCGAGGCAAAGTGCCCTTGGCATCTGCTGGCCCCTTCTGTAGGTTCTAGTATAAACAATAGCTGAGTTTTTATGTTGGTGTTGACCTCCCAAGATAACTTCAGAAAACACTACCTGGCAAATCTGATGTGTTTGATTTCAAAGAAAAGAGTTTTCCAGCTCAGTCCAGGCCTGATTTCCTGCCATATAAAGGACAAAACCCTTTGGGAACCCAGCACTTCTTGGAAGCAAGGTTAAGAGGAATAAACTTTCTTCCTCACTACCAGACTGAAATGTCAGTGAAATCTTTTCTGTTAGGAGTGCACATCTGTCCCCACAGGGTCAGGTCAGTGCTCTATAACTCATCTTGCAAAACTGAAATACAATTTTTGGTCATCAGAGTTGGATAAGGATCAGAAAAATGGCCTGACAAAATTTCATATATATTGACAAAATGTTTTCTTCAAGAAGCAGGATCTGCACAAAAAATCCTTTCCTTGTACGGACAGGGCAAGATTTCAAGATAATATGCATTAGAAATTATTTACAATGAAGTTGAATTAATGTCTGCTCTGAGAACGCTCCAGCGCCCGCCTCAGGACTGTATCTGTAACCTCTTAAAGCATAGAAAAATAATTGTTTTGTTGCCCAATGGAAACACAAGGCTGAAATCCCATGTGCAGTATATTTGGGGTCCCAGTCCCTGATCTGCTCCTCTAAACATTGCCTGGGAAGTGGCACAGTGCCTGAAATGAGCAGAAACAGTCCTGGGATTAAGAAGTGATCTGAGACCTGGAGCTGATCTCAGAGTGCATGTGGCTAGGGAACTGAATTAGGAAATTAACAGCAACTGGAGATGAATTGCGGTGTATTGTGCTGGAAAGAGGATTCGTGTTTAGATGGAAAATGGAAATTGGAATTGAGGGGAAACTCTAACCTGGGGTCAGTTTAACATGGATTTTTGTGCTGGGAGGTGGAACTGAGCACAAGTCACATTCCTCTCGCTGATGCTTTTTGTTTTCTTGCATCCTGAGCACGCAGTTTTGGACCCTATGGCTTAGGGGATGCTCTGATGTCTTTCCAAGAGGGGTGCGGGGCAGTGAGCTGGTCCCTGGCAGTGCAGAGCAGGGTAGATGCTCACCCCTGGGAGCTGAGTGAGAGGTGACTGTCCCTGCCGTGCATATATCATTGCTGTGCTGGTCCATTCTCAGCTCCATGTCCAGCTGGAGCTTAGGTACATTTTCTTTCACTCCTGCTGTGTCTGCTAGCCAGGGGACAATGCAGGCGATCCCAACCCTGGGCAGCCCCTAACTGACAACAAGGCTCAACAAAAGTTATTCCATTTCTAGTGAGACCTTGCTGCCACTTGCAATATCTTGTTGGGGGGGTAACCAGCTGGGCACGCACAAAACCACTCGGTCTGCAGGTCCCAGGGTGGCTGTGTACCCTGTCTCTTATTGCCACCATCTGAGGTTGGTGGCTGGATTTTTATAAACTGGGGCCAAGACTTACTGGGATCCAGTAGCCAGGATGAAGCTCAGGGATTTTTTGTTTTTTTCTTTTTTTTTTTTGTGGTGGAGGGGTGCATGTCGCCACCACCAACACAGATGACATCAGCGTCCTGTGTCATTAGCGGGATACCCCACGGAGAGCCGGCAGTACCCAGCCCTGCTGGGGAGGCACGGACTGATTTAACCCCCAGGGTGCCGGGGTGTATCAGCGGCCAGGTTTTCCTGAAGAAGAGGAATCCCCCACAACAGCTCATCCTCTCTGCTCCCCCCACAAGCCCTGAAGCCATCGGAGGGGGCAGCTTGGGCGGCGGGAGAGGCAGCAGCAGTGTTCGGAAGAGGCATTGCATTATGTTGCATTGCACTGCGCATCCTCCCTCCCACCCCCTGATGCTGCCTGCAGGCTTCCTCTCTTCATCCCTCAGTCCTCCTCCCCTCCCGCCCTGCATCCCTCCCTCCTGCATCCCTCCCTCCTGCAACCTTTCCTCCTGCATTCCTCCCTCCTGCATCCCTCCCTCCTGCCTCCCTCCCTCCTGCATCCCTCCTCCATCCCTCCCTCTGCCTGCACAGAGCCGCGGACATGGCGCTCAGCAATTTCCTCTTCGCTCAGTGCATCTGCTACTTCCTGGCCTTCCTCTTCAGCTTCATCGTGGTGGTGCCGCTTTCCGAGAATGGCAACGACTTCCACGGCCGGTGCCTGCTCTTCACCGAGGGCATGTGGCTGAACGCCAACCTGACGGTGGAGAGGCAGCGCTTCACCGTGCAGGAGTGGGGGCCCGAGGCCGCCTGCCGCTTCAGCATCTTCTCCAGGCTCCTCTCCCTGCTGCTGGCCACAGTGCAGGCCTGGAGGACCCTCTTCTTCCTCTGCAAAGGGCACGAGGAGTAAGTACCCCTGGGGAGGGCAGGGGAAGCCCATCCTTCCTGCGGGGCAAGCGGGAGCAGCCTGGGGTTGAAGCATTGGGCTTTGCACCATCCACACCATCCTGCTCCCTAGAGAAATTTGGGGTGAGGGGGTGTATTGCTGCGTCTGTCTGCACACATACCACATGCACCCCCACCTGTGTCCAGGGCCCTCTCTGGAGGATGCTCCCCTGCAGGAATTTGGGGTGGGGGGGAGCTCAGCTTCACTGCTATGCGCCTGCTGCCCTTTAGCAGTCTGAGAGCAGCATCTGCCCAACTCTGCTGTGGTGGGCATGGAGGGTGCTGGGGGCCGTGGGGTGATGCTGGAGGCTGGGGCTCACAGGTGCCTCGTGACAATGGTCCCACCACACATCCCTGCAAAGGGGGACCTTCCCCAGATGTACACTGGGTATGTCAAAACCTCAAAACAATATGGTTGTTCGTGGGAGGGGGCAGAAAGGAGAGGTTGGTGGTCCCTTTCTATTTTTATCCTGCTTTTGGGGTGGACATGGCAACTATCGCGGAGAACAACTATTGCTTGGTTACAACATGAGAGCAATGCTGAGCGCTCGCTGCAGCAGCTGCAGGGCTGCACTGGCAGCCAGTTACCGTGCTCTGACAAACCAAGGGGCACCAGAAACCAGCAGAAATACAGAGACTTGGTGGCCCAGGCAGAAGCTCAGGAGTGCTGTGCTCTGCTCTCTGGTGGCCTGTCCTGCCACCTCAGGTAAAGCCCCTGGCACAGGTAACCTAGCCTGCGAGTGCTATGGGGCTGGGGCCCTCCAAGCATCCAGCTGCACAGAGGTAGGAAGGCAAAAGCACATGCTGGTGGCTAGCTAGACTACGAAAGTCATTTTCCCATGGTTTAGCAACAGTGCCAAGGGTAAATCACTCGTGTCCAGGTCTAGCTGGACTAGAGGTTTCTTGAGTCAGTGGCTGTTACTCACGTCTGGGCTTGTACAACCACCTGATATTGGTAATATTGCAGATTGGGTAGCAGTGTTGTCTCTCTAGCTCTTTCCGACCATTCTCAAGCTGCCTAATACTAAAACATGCTATCATAATTATAGATTAGAAACTTATTTCCATGTTAAAACTTACCTTGCAAGTTCTAAATATAACCACTTCCTAATACATTTGAATTCAGCTTCCTGATCAGATACCTATAGAGGATTAGTTCAACCTAGATGCTTTTTTCAGTTTTGCAGTTCAGAACTAGTTAATTTTTGGAAGAAACCAGCAGTGAAAACCCTGTCATACTGAAATTTGGATCAGATGTTTGGCCTGCTTCCAAAGGTGGCTATTTGGTTCAAAACTGTTGGGCAGACCCCTGAAAATTGTACTTCCAGGAGTTCCTTTCAGGCTGCTTTGTGCCCTTGTACAACACTGTTCATAGTTCTTCCAGGCAAGAAAGGAGGCAGCAGGCTGCAGGGTGGTGGGGAACAAATGCAGAGCAAGTTGGCAGGGTGAGACAGCCACAGGGCATCACAGAGGGGTAAAACACGATGAGAGGGAAGCTGTCTGAAACCACCGATTTTCTAGTGAGAAGGAAGGTCTGTCCTGTACCAGATGCGCTGCCTGTCTGAAAAGCAGGCAGGACACACACTGTTCTGATTTTAGACAGCTATCTGTTAACACTTCAAATGGGTGTGAAAACAGATCTGTTTGGATGGAGAGATAAACATGAGCTCCTCACCAGAAATGATAATTGCCATTTCTGATTAGAGGCAATTGAAGAAGAACCAGGATGACATCACTGCTGATCCTACTGAGTAGGATCATTGCTGTTGGGCCAGCTCCGGAGTAAGCTGGCTAGAATCCTATGCATCATAGCAAGGTGGCCAGTCTTCAAGTGCAATGGCTTTGAATGATTGCTGTCAGATAGTTAGAACTGCTAAAAAACCTGCTGCTGGCTGCCTGCCCTGCTCTGGGCCTGGGACTATTCAGCTCAGCTGACAGGTGGAGATCCAACTCAGATACTTAACTATAACTTATACTTTGAGTGTAAGCATTTATCATTACAGGGTATCCACTCAGTCTGGAGAGTGTAGCTTGAAATCCTGACCCAAGCAAAGAAAAAATAGGTGAGGTAGTCAGTCAGATTAGTAGAGCTCTCTACCAGGATGCCTTCTTCTGAGGAACCTCCAGCAAACGGTGATGGTTACTGCTTGTCTGATGCAAATCAAGTGCAACACTCACCCCCGCTTTGTCAGTGGGAAGTCCAGTTCTGGACCTTGGCACCTTTTCTGTGCTGCAGGGTAGGAAGTAGGGGGAGGACTAGAGGTCCCAGGCTGGCGATGATCCACTGAATACCCCTGGGAACTCTTCCTTTTCCAGGGCTGTTGTTAATTCGGCTGTCAACCCTGGTTTTGTTCAGTGGACAGCTTAAGTCTTTTCTGCCTCTCAGGGCAGCATACCATGCTAAGGTGCACTCAGTGGATATGGCTTTAACGACACTTGCTAGGTGTAAAATCAGGGGAGCGACAGCGAACATGCCAAACCATGGTATGCTTGTACCACCTCTGCTCTATGGCTGACTGTGGCACTCTGTGGAGGTGAGCTAATCTAGTCCATCAAGTCCCAGGAAGACAAAGGATGAGAGTAGGATTCATCTCAACACACATCTAGAAGTCAGGTGTCCTGGCATCCAGCTCCCACTACAGTCTGTAAAGGCACTTCTGGAAGGGGGTTTGTTTCACTTCTTTTCTATCAGTGTTGGGATGGGACGACTGTCACTTTGGAGAGAGCCCAGACAGCCCCTCTAAATCCACATCAACCTAGAAACAAACATCCTAACCCCACTGGCAATTGTTTCCTCCTGTCATTTTAAAGAAGTACTCCCGAAGTCACATGTTTCTTACCATGTATAACCAGTTCAAATTAGAATTGACCAACCCAGAACTTCCCCAGGATTCAAACACTGACTCAAAAAGCCTCTTGGATTTTTATTTAAAGAGCTACCAGGGAAAAAAAGACCATTCTTTTGTTCTCTGGCGTGAGTAGACTCCTCCACATAATGAGAGCAACACTGGTGGGAGGTTTCACATATTCATCTTTACCACCTAACCAGAATAGGTTGACTTGTCTCCTGGAGTTGCCAGTCTTTCTCCAACCTAGAGCTGACATCGTTTTTAGATAATGAGACTTTCCAAGTGCACCTAGAACAGTTTCAAGTAGTGAAGGACTTGGACAGATGAATGGGAAAAAGTGTTAGAAAGTTTTCACTGACTAGAATTAAGGGCTAGAGTTAAGCAGTGGAGTTCGAAGGGGCGGACCTGCTGGAGAGCAGCTCTGTGGAGAGGGACCTGGGTGTCCTGGTGGACGACAGGTTAACCATGAGACAGCAGTGTGCCCTGGCTGCCAAGAAGGCCAATGGCATTCTGGGGTGCATTAGGAGGAGTGTGACCAGCAGGTCGAGGGAGGTTCTCCTTC